CTCATTTTAATTCATATGTTTCTAATGTAGCATTGACTGGACCATGATAACTATAATATCATTAGCTGGTACATACCTCTAAAATTAAATGATGATGATAAAAATAGTAACTGGGCAAAATTTTATAAGATAAATGTTCTCACAAGCAATTTCATGAGATTCTGGCCATTTAATGTTTAGAAAAATAATATTTTAATTTTTGGGGGGCTGCAGTATATGAAATTGTACAATGGTGCCCAAAAAAGTTGTTTACTTGTTTTCATCCACTTAAAATGAAGTGGATCATTCTTAAAACAAAGAAAGTCATGGAGTCACAAGACTACCAGATATAACTCATTACAATTCTTGTTTCACAGGAAGAGACAGAATTTACCAAGCAGTATATCAAAGTAGAATGTGGATTGTATCCAAGTATACTCTCCAATAAATCTATTTCCCAAGATTTCAGATTCAGAATCAGAAGACTCATAGGAATATGTCTATTGGTTAAAGAAAATGAACACAAAGGGATTAATACATTGGCCCAATTCTCAGATGTTAGCTCCTTTGAACCGGACATGATCTCTCAAATCAACTTGAAAGAAATTTATACTGCCTTTTCCTCTTGAAGGAAAAGTGTGATATAAATGAATATGCTTTCTGGAGATAGCCAAAAAGCAATTAATCTGATATCATTTGTTTCCACATCAATATTCAAGTTTCAAAGTATTTCAGTGTTGAAATAACTTCCTGCCCCCAATAACTTAAAAGCACAGTTTGGGGCAGTGACTCACATAATTATAAGTGACCTAGATTTGGTTTCTTAAGATAAATCCCAAAAGAACAATGAATAAATTCTTGTATTCCCATAGAAATGAAAGTGTTCAGGAACATGGTAACAGAATTTCCTGATGGCTTCTGTCCAAATTTTCAATCTGTTTCTAATTGCCAAAGATCCTTAAAGCCACAGAATTAACCATAGAGTTATGAAAGCAATCTGCTGGGAGAGATTATCACTGCCCTGGGTTGGCAGGAACAAGTCTCTGGAGTGGCATGAAATTTAAATGTTGCAGTATCACACCTAGAACCAATACATGAAACATAGGGCATATTCATTTATGCTTCCGAATAAGAGGAAGCCAATAGTTTATAAATGTTCCATTAGAAACATTTTTCTTTCTAGTTTATGATCTTTGTGATTATTATGGAAATTTCCCATTATGCACTTGTTGTTCTGAATGGCCTACAGTAATAAAAGATTTTCTGATGCAAAAGCTATGTTCTTTCAGGTTCAACATTAACTCCTCTGATACTGGAAAACCGTAGAAAACATTGTAGCCAGAGGACACCTCTTCCAAGGGAAATCAAGAGTTTCCTGAGTGAGAAAATTACAAGCAGCGAGTTACTATAGTTTTAGAGACTCTGAGGTGGTGTAAGGGACTCCTACTCACTCCTTTAAGGGAGATCTTATCAAACATATCCCTCAGGATGTAAAACACTTCTCCTCTGCTGTTGAAACAACACTTGAGTTGCCATCTAGTCGATCTGTGAAAATCCCTCAATACATGCTTTGAAACATGAGGGAGCATTTATAAAGTGTCTTTCTTTGAATCATTAAAGCAGCTGCATCTATTTCTAGGCTCACCCAGCTGCTTTCTAAGTTGCTTCCGGTTGTTTCAGTATGTGTGTCCTTTTACCATCATTCTGCTTCCCCCCCTCCCCCCAGTTCCCCTTGGATTTCTTACCTAAACCTTGAGTAGGCTTTGAGAAGTTGATTTTTAAGTTCTTCATTTTAGGAAGATATTAACTGGAAGATTTGTTATTCAACTTTCTCTTTGTTGATCTTACCTAACCAGCTCTCCGTTATGATTACCCCTTGGGTTTTGTTTGAACCAGCTTTATCCAACCAGGGCACACTTTAAATGTGCATCCCACATGTCAACAATGGCCATGAACTCCAAACATCTGGAGAGATCCAGATTGGGAAGAGTTGGGCTGGACTTTTCTTTGCCATGTGACATTTCATCTTAAGAAGACACAAAGTACACAAAATTGGCATTGTTTGCTAACTTTTTGCCTTCCACTACACAGCTTAAGAAATTCTCCTGAGTCTCTTAGATTATAATGAGGTGTTATGGAGTCTTATTCAAAAAGCTGTTCACTGTCTCTACTGATCATTCTTTATTACAGTGTATGGCCAATTTATATCCTTCAGGATGGTGTGCCATTGTTCATTAATTAAAACATTACATTACTCCTCAAATTAGACCTTTGATAGGAGATATTTGCTCTGTTTTTCCACTGATCATGGCAGAGGCAATATACAGTATGAAATTGAAAGTAAGCCACTAACATTTTGCAGCTTACTTCCTTTCACTAAATTGGGTTTCTTCTTGTCAAGATTCTGGGAAGCTATAGTGATACGTGAACCTATTCATTTTGCTGCGGCGTCTTCTCCTTTTCCAGTGTACAGTGTAGAGTTGCAGGCTTAATGTTCAATGCAAAACCATGACTCCAAGACCAATCAATCAAAATTGCAAAAATGCATGGAAATGAAAGAGAGAGAGAGAGAGAGAGAGAGAGAGAGAGAGAGAGAGAGAGAGAGAGAGAGAGAGAGAGAGAGAGAGAGA